ACATTTTTACTAATTGTTTATGTTTGTTAATTCAACAGCAATATATTTTAATTGCTGAGCGTAACTAATGACAAATAAAAAAGTAATTTACATTTAATTAATAATCAATATTCAATAAGGATTTAGATTTTTAATAAGAATATGGATTTTTATTAAAGTAAATAAATGCTTATTGAAATTAAAGAATACTGAACGAAGTAGATCACATAATTAAGAATCACTCCTTCAAAGCATTCAAAAATATATACAAATAAATTAAAACCGTAGAGTCAATTCTACATGCTCTTTATTAACTTGCTTGTTCAATACTCTAGCAAAGTCACCGAACACCCAATTAATAAATCAATAAATAGTATTATTGACCTATTTTAAATAATATTTAAAAAAATAAAATGAATAAAAATATTTTTATTTGTGCATGTTAAAAGGCAAGAAAATGTTCACATATAAAGGCGTAAAATAAAAAAAAATAAGTATACAAAGTAAGTACAGTAAAAAAAAAAAAATACTTACAGAAAAGTAAGCACATTTAAAAAAAAATACTTGCTCTAAAAGTAAACACACTAAAAAATTTAAATATATTATATTATGTTTTTTCTTTTTTTTTTTTTTCGTACTAACAATTATATAAGAAAGTATACTTTTTTTTTTATTATGACTTAGACTTAATAAAAAATTATTAAATTTTTTTTTTTCTGATAATTATTATTATTATTTTTTTTAAAAAAAAATTACAAATAAAAAAATATTTTTTTTTTTTTGGGAGGAAAATAAAGTATAATTTTTTTTGTGAAAGATTAAAAATGTAATGTAAAATGTGATATGCATAAGGCATTGCGTAAATTAACAGTAGTAATTAACACAATTAATATTTTATATTAATTAATAAAAGCGAATAATTTTCTTAATAATTTAATATAATAAAAGTAAAATAAGTAGAGTTTTTTCTACATGGTTTTAATTAATTTGTTCCTTCATTACCAGTAAGGTCATTGATCGAGCAATTAATGAATTAGTTAATGAGTTTAAGTCTGATTGTAAGTGCTGTAAACCAGTAAACTGTGTATATTCATTCTCATACATTGAGCATTTATTGTTTACTGAAGGTATTTATATACTTTAATAAAAATCCTATGTTATTATGAAAAACATAAATTTTAGTTAATTGTTTATTTTTAATTAAATAAATGTTACTTAAAAATTTGTTAATAATATTTAGCAATTCACATCCATTAATGCAAGATAGCAAAAATAAATAATTATTAAAACACAAATTTTAATTATATAATTATTATAAACATGAAAATTATACTACTGTAACTTTAATATTTACTTTTTGTATGTTCAAGTAAAAATTCATTACAAAGAAATTGTCGTTGTTAACAATTTTTATAAAAATCTTAGTAATCGGTTTATAAAAGGTATTATTAATCTTTATGAAAATAAATATAACTGTATGGAATATACATAAATAGTCATGTAATCCATAAATAATATTATAGGTCTACTTTCGATAATATTTATATTAATAAAGTGAGTAAAAACATTTTTATTTGTGCATGGTAAAATATGGAGAAAATGTTCACAGACAAACGTGTACACTAAAAAAGTAAGTGTACATAAAGTATATACACTAAAAAAAAAAATGTAGATATATTTTATTATACTTTTTTTTTTTTTTTTGGTATGTGATGCTGATTTAAAAAAAATAATTTGATAATAATGATTTTATTTTTTTTTTTAAAAAAAAAAAAGACATGAAAAAAAAAAAAATAAAACTTTTTTTATGAAATATTAAAAATACTACATATGATACACATAGAGTATTGCACAAAATTAGCTAAAATAGTAATTAATATAATTAGTATTTGATATTAATTAAAAAATATACATAATATGATTAACATTCTATTTTAATTAAGACAAAACATGTTTTCTATATATGCTCTGTTAATTTGTTTGTTCAATACTAATAAAGACATTGATCAGGAAATTAACGAATCACCATGTAAGCTCTAGATAAACAAAAAAAAAAAATTGTTCATCTTTTTTTTTGTTTCTTTTTATAAATTAATTACATAAAAAAAATATGTTTATTTTCATTATAAAAAGATTTAATGTTGGAAAAAGAAAATAGAAAAGGTTGTTAACTAATAAATTGTTTCTTGGTAGTGGATTTTTATTTTGAGCTTTAAAGAGAAAAAATTATATTAATAATAATAAAAATTTCCCGTTTGTATTATTTATATAATTTAATTTGTATTCTCTTAACTTGAAAGTAATGAATTTTAATTGATAATCATTACTCATAACATTATAAATAAAATATAAGTAATTAAAATTGATAATGAATTAAGATTTAAATTTTTAATAAAAATATAGCATTTTTATTAAAGTAAATAAATGCCTTTTAGAAACAACAGATGTTTAATGAAGTAGATTTCATAAATATTGTTGTTTATAGCATTCAAAATTTCATTTAAATTCATTAAATCAATAGGAACAACTCTACATGTTTTTTATTAACCTCTTTGTTCAGTACACTAACAAAGTTATCGAGCGGGTAATTAATAAACCATCAATTGATTAATTAATTTAAAGTTCAAGGAAATTTATAGAGAATTAAACTAACAAATTATAAAGGATAATTCAGAGACTCCCTTGCCGTTTTTTGCTTAATATTGAATTATATCTAAGTAAAAATGTTTATTTATTTTAACAAGTTTTGAATTTAAACTGTTTACTATATTTTTAAACATATAAGAACTTAATAAACAAAATAAAACTATATTTATGTGAAAATCCCAATTTACTCTAACAAAGTTTAAATTTAAATTGTTTATTACATTTTAAAACCTGTGATAATTTAATAAACCAAATAGAAACAAAATCCTTTTATTTTTCTTATACAACATTAGAATTCCAGTCAATCTGTTTCGAAATTAAATTAATTTGAATTGACTTATCATAATAAACAGAATAATATTTAACCAACTAAAATTTTTAAAAAAATAATAATATTTTTTTTTCAATACAAAAAAAGTATGACAAAAATTTTTTTTTTTCATTTTTTATATATCATTTACATGGCTATCTGTATATTACTTATGTAGTTATTAATTTTTATTCTCAAAAAGTTTATAATCCTTTTATTAACCAATAATATAATAAGGTTTAAATATTATCAATAAGTAATATTATAATAATATAAATAAGTAGAGATCATTCTATATGCTCTTTATTAATGTGACTAATAAATATACTATGAAAATATTTAAACATACAATAAATCATTGATACATTTCTAAAAATATTCTTTTTGTTTTCTAGAATTATATAAACTTCCTTTCTATATTTAACATAAATAATTATTAATTTCTTTAAATGAATGAAATGGTAGTGTTATATAAAATTAGCAAATAGATCTGTACAGTTTTTAAATATATATTTTAATATTTTAGCTTAAAATTTTATTGTACAAATAAGCTCATTCATAAAAAAAAAAAAATATTTTTTTTTGGAATTTTTTTAATCTAAATTTTATTGTATAAATTTAATAAATTAATTTTTAAGTTTTGATTATGAATAGGATTAATCAATAAGGAATTTTATTGAAATTCTTATTATTCCAAGTCATAAATTTTTTGAAGAGTAACTACGGTACATAAAATAATAATTATTTTATATTTTTAGAATTTTACTCTTATGAGAGTTTTTCATTCAAATAAATTACTCTAAAAATAATACCTAAAATATAACAAAAGTATTGAGTTAACATATTTCTATTTAAAGGATTGTTAGTCTCATAGTAAACTATATATCATTGCCAAATAACCAAATTATTCAAATATCACATATTTGTTAAAAAAATTTTATTAAAAATAAAATAGTTAAAAACTTCTTCATATTTTCTCTTAAATTATTTGATCATTATTATACGAAGGTTTTTTATCATAATAATAGCAAATTTTCATTAATATATATTTTTTTAAATAATTTATTTTATATTTTTTTAAATAACCTTTTTTTAATATATATTATCATTTTATTTTTTATAAATCATTAGTATTGCCCATAATAAATTAAATATATAATAAAATTACATGTATAATTTTGTGATAAAAATGTTGAACTTTTTTCATTTAATAAAAAAGCTATTTAAATAATAAAATTTAAATATTATGTATGTATTAATTTTTCTTATTCAAAACTATGCATTATTGTTACAGTATATTTTTATTATGTTATTTATATTTTGTTAATTTTATATTTTATTTATTATTAAAACATTATTTTAATTGAAGTTATTTTGAAGTTCTTTATTTTATTTAAATTTATTATAAGATTTATGCCATATGATTAAGAAGATATTTAATAATTAAATTTAAAAAATAAGAAAACAGAGAACTATTTTTATATGCTGAATTAAACTAAAAAATATAAAATAAAAATAAAAATAAAAATAGATAAATTTTATTCGAGCATGTATTTATTATTAAAAAAAATTTAAATAGATAATAAGAAAAAAATTTTCAATAGATAAAAAGAAAAAAATTTTCAATAAATAAAAAGAAAGAGATTTTTAATAAATAAAAAGAAAAAAATTTTTAATAAATAAAAAGAAAAAAATTTTCAATAGATAAAAAGAAAAAAATTTTCAATAGGTAAAAAGAAAAAAATTTTCTATAGATAAAAAGAAAAAATTTTTCAATAGATAAAAAGAAAAAAATTTTCATTAGATGAAAAGAAAAAAATTTTCAATAAATAAAAAGAAAGAGATTTTTAATAAATAAAAGAAATCTAATAAATAATAAACAAAAAAATATTAATCGACGAAAATAAAAAATTATTAATACTGAAACAAAAATATTCTTTTATTATAGTTCTTTTATAAATTAAAAAGAATTTTCTATTGCTATATAAATTTACGTATTTATAATTTTCAATAGATAAAATTAAACTAAAAATCTAAATTTTAAATTTATATTTTTTTATTCAATATGAAAGCATCAAAGTTATTATTCTTTCTAAGTTCATTTCTAATTATAAATATATTAACTCCATACTTATTTAATGCTAATGTATTTTTTGTTTCTGCCGATGGAAAAATACAAGAAATTAACAAAGATATTGAAAAAAAAAATAAAAAAAAAAAGATTATCTTAATATCATCTATAGCTGCAGGATTAGTAATGCTTGCAGCTTCTATACTTGGAATAGGAAATTGTATCAAAAGAAAAAACGATAGAATGAAAGGTTATACTTACAGAATAGATACTTGGCCAGATAATGATATTAGGAGAGTAGGAACAGAAATCTCACAAAAAGCAAGTAAACGTGGATTGAAAGAAACGATAGTAAATTTTCACAAAGGAAAACAAGAAGGTCCTAGTGATAAAACTTTAAAATCATATGTTTTTGATGAAATAAAAAAAAGTGGAGTTGTTTTTAGTGAAAGACAAATCTCTGATATGATGTATTATGTTCTTTCAGACGTTGCAGTAATGGAAAAACACTGGAGAAATTTTCCAGAATATCTTCCTTCTTTACATTTAAAAAAAGATTTAAAAAAATAGAAAAAAACGAAATTATAGAAATGTATCTGAAACGATAACTTTTTATAAAGTGAAATTAATTACTATATTCAACTCCATATTTAAACAGGATTCAGGTATTGTATTAAGAGGATGAATTTTTTTTACTGCAACCTTTCCAGTGAAAAAAAATTTTCATTATATATTTACGAATATTTAAGTTATAATGCAGTTATAGTGCGAAAATATAATTCTTATAATTAAGTGTATTTAAACGTCCTATAAGTTTAGTGTATTTTCTGTTACATTTTTCAGATAATTTCTGTATATATATTTTGTTCATATATTTTTAAATAAACGTAGATTAATTCATATTTTGTATATGTTTTGTTAATAAAAGGAATCAATATTTTTGAGAATAAAAAATTAAAATTGTGCGAAAAGTAAGCAGGTAATCATTCAAGTTCTAGACAGACAAAAAGAAAAAGAAATTTTATTTTCTAAATTAGATAAACAAGTATATTTTTTAAAAAAAAAAAAAAACTGTTGATTATTATTTTCCAGTTCAACATCTTTGATAACGTATTTAACAAACATATTAATAAAGAGTATGTAGAGTTGCCTATATGATTAACAAAAGGAATTATTGACCTCTTTGGGAATGAAAAAAGCTGTCTATACGGAATATATGTAATTAACCATTCAAACGCTAGATAAAAAAAAAAAAAAAAGCTATTTGTTAACTTTTTTTTTGTTGTTTCTTTGTATATATACATGAAAATAATATATTTTTATTTTAAAATATAAGAAATAATTTATTGACAAAAGTGTTTCTTTACATTGAATTTTTGCTTTGAATTTAAAGAGAATGTTTTATATACATAATAATAAAATTCTCATGTATGTAATATTTATGTAATTTAATTCATGTTTTATTAATTACTTATGTTTGTTAACATAAAAATAATTCATTTAAATTTATAAACATAACTCAACATTATAAATAAAATTTATTAAACTATAGAATGATAATTAAAAAGGATTTAAATTTATAATAAAAATATAAAGTTTCTATTAAAATAAATAAATGCTTCTTGAGAACAATAAGTATTCAAAGAAGCTACGTAAATATTTACTTGCTTGATAGCATTTAAAATTTTACATAAATTCATTAAATTATTAAAGGAAATTCTGTCTGTTTTTTATTAATCTGATTGCTTAGTACTTTAGCAAAGCCATTGAATGGGCATTTATTCACTACACTACTTTAATAAATTTAAATTTTTATTTCTATAAACAAGTAAACTGTATTTATATAGTCTACTTCATTGGGCCTTCATTGTTTTTTTTAAGAGGCATATATTTACTTTAATAAAAACCCCACATTTTTATTAAAAATTTAAATCCTCATTAATTACCGATTTTAATTACATATATTTTATTTATAATTTATGAATAATATTTGTTAATTAAAATAAGTTGATCTTAAAATAGAAAGTATAGATAATTAACAAAAGACAAAACATATTATATAAATACTACAAAAGACGAAAATTTTTCTATCTTTAATATGAAATTTTCTTATGTGAACTTAAAATGTACCATAAGTAATTTTTTTGTCAACTTTTTGTTTCTTCTACAATTTAAATCATTTCAAAAAAAAATAAATATATTTATTTTATATATTTTAATTTACAAAAATCAAAAAAAAAAACATTAACAATTATTTTATTTATATATTTTTTTTATCTAATACTTGCATGCCTATTTATTTTCCATATAGCTATTACTATTAATCCTCAAAAAGATTAATAATACCTTTTATTGATCACATAACTAACTGTATATTTTTTATACAGCCATTGTTTTTTATTATCAAAAAGATTAATGCCTTTTATTAACAAGTTTGCTAAATATTCATATCTAAATGTATAATCTAAAAGAAAATATGTACACTAAATAAAAAAATAAAAAAACATACACTAAATGTCAACACATTTAAAAATTTTTTTTTTTTCTCAGAAGAAAAAGTAATTTGCGACTTCTTGTGAAAAGTTAAAAATGTAATGTTAAAAGCCGCATTTATATAGTATCTTATATATTATATAATTAGTAGCTAATAGAATTAAAATTTAATATTAACAAAAATAAATAATAAATGCAATGCTTTATTTTACTTTATATAAAATAAGTAATGTTTTTTCTACATGCTTTCTATTAATTTTTTTGTTCAGTATTAAAAAGGCAATGAAGGGGCAATTAATATATCACTGCTTGAAAAAGCAGGTAATTAAGTTTAAGAAAAAAATAATTTTTTTTTTTTTGTAAATTGTTTTATTTAATTATATTTTTAAATTTCAGTTTAAAAAAAAAAAAAGATTAATTTTTTGAAAAAAATTATGAAAGGAGTGAGTTGAATTTCTTTTTTTTTGAATTAACAAAGAGTTAAATTCGAAGTCAAAGTTAAAACGGAAAATATTATATTTTTGTTAATATTTAATTTTTATGTATTTCCTAAAAGGCTTTTAATGACTTTAACATAAATTATTATTTTATTTTAGAAAATTATATTACATACAATCGGAATTCTTCATAATGTTTTATTAATTGGTTACTTAATGGTTTTGTTAATGAGTAAACAAATTATTAGAGAGTACGTAGAATAGTCCCTATTCTTTTAATTGTTGTAAAAATTAAACTAATATTGTAAATGAGTAAACTTTATATATATATTTTGCATAACCAATTATTTATTACTTTAGAGATATCTTTATACTTTAATAAAATATATCCTTACTTTTATAAACAACTTATATCTTCATTAAAGATATTGCTTATATGTGAAACAATATTTTAAAATAAACTAACAAATTTCAACTAAAGTTATTAACATTTTTTTTTAATAATATTTAAAAATTAAATATCAATAAAAACAAAATTGTTTTTATTTTTCTTTTAAAATTCAAATTTAATTTTTAGTTATGTCATAATTAATTCGACTATAAAAAAAATGTAATTCTCCAAGAATAAATCTTTATTACAACAAAAAAAAAAACTTATTCTTAATAATTATCCAAAAAAAAATTTAAATATTAAAAATATTTAAAGAAAACAACTTAAGAAGATAATAAAAAAATTAATATCCTTTTTTTTTCTACTAACAAATGAGTATGGATAAATTTTTATTTTTTAGTTAAGTGATTAATAAATGATATTATTAATATTTTTAAAATAATAATAAATAGATAAGTGGAAAATATAAAGTTATCCATGCATGGTCACTAGCTAAAGAAAAAAAATTAAATTTTAATATTTATTATTTTTTTTTAAAAATTGATGATTTAATGAAACTAATTACTTAGAGAAAAATAATTATTGTATGAAAACAAATCAATATAATCTGAACTGTAAATTAAATTATTATGTATTTTAATTTATTCAAAAAAAATTAAATTAATTACAACGTAAAAATTAATATGAACATTATTAAAGGATTTTTAGTAAAAAATAAGCAATTAACGAAAATATGTTTTCAATAAAAATAAAGGATTTTTATTAATGTAGATGACTCATAAAATAATAAATTTTCAGACATGTAAACTTTAAACATAAAATTAGCTAGTTCATAACATCCTTATATTTATTTTTTAGTAATTAAATTAATAAAAAAAAACCATGTATTTTTATTATTAATTGACCTGTTCCTAGCTCTAGACGTAATCATTTAACAGTCAATTAATATCAATAAATTTCTTTTATTTCAAAAAGGTTAAAAATATCTTTTATTAAACATATAACAAGAATTTAGGTTTCAATAAAAAGAAAGATAAATTTTTATTAAGGTAAATAAATATCTCTTAATAAATATTCAATTATGTAATCTATATGTAGGAAGTTTATCCACATGCAGCATCAATATAATTTTTACAAAAATTAAATTTAGTAAAAGTAGCTTTATATTCTCTTTATTAATTTATCTGTTCAGTACTGTAGCAAAGTTTTTAATAAGTCAATAAAACAAATAGCTTTGCTAATAAAAAGAGTGTACAAGAATTTCCACTTATTTTATTAATTAAAATATTATTTAATGTATATACTTACACTACAAAATGTAAATACACAATTTATTATATAGTTGATCCAAAATCCTTAAATCAATTCCATGTCTAAAATATATATTTAACTATTTTTAAAATATCAAAAAATTTTGACATTTATGCATCTTTACAAAAGTTATTTATTTCTAAAAACTTAAATATTTCATATCTATAAAAATTAAAAATCAATTATACATGTTATCTTTTTTTTCATATTCAGAAATAAAAAAAGGATGAAATTTCTTTTTCATATTATTATTTGATAAAATTTTTTTTCTTTTATCATCGTATCCACTTCATAAAAAAATTATTAACTTTTTTTTTATATATAAACTTTCTTAATTGATATTTCCTTAATTGAATATTCTTTGACTTTCTGCAAGAATTAAATAATCAAAATAATAAAGAGTTTGTAAAGTAAATTCTATCTCATTTACGAATTAAAGCTTATCTTTAAAAAAAAATATATGTATTTATGTAATTAAACTACATAATATGAAATAATTACTTTATTTCATATAACTTATGAAACCTAAAAATAAAATATAGTTTTACTTATATATATATTTTATTATTCTTTTACATTATAATTACTAAAGAAAAGTTTAGTAATTCAAAAATAATATAAAAAAAAACCATAAAACTCTCAGCAAAAATTCTCAATGACAATTAAAGCGTTAGAATAAAAAAAATTATGATCTTTGCATTATAATTTTTTAAGTATATCTTATACTTTTATCTCACTTTAAAAAAAAAAGTATTATAGCAAAAAAAAATTTCCCTTATATACAAAAGTTTAATGTACATCAATAAAAATATATCTTAAAAAGTTATGTAAATATTTTATGTGTCATATATTCATAATTAATAATGTAACTTAGTTAATTTTGTATCATATTAAATATTCACAAGGGTAGGTAATTGGTTAATAAAAGGAATTACTAA